GAGAACTGCAGCAATGTTAAAGGCGCTGCTATTTATATCTCGTCTCTTCGACGATGTGTTTGGAGTGAAACAACTCCCCACCACAGTCCTAAGAAAGCCCTCCGCTGGGACAAATTCCTTTACAAAAATAACTCTCTTGTTTGGAATGATGGAACCAAAGTGTTGAGTGGAGATCTATACGATATCGCTACAGACACCAAAGAGTATAAAACTAATAAAAAGTCGCTGAAGGTATGAGTTGGTCTTTTTTCACCTTTCCCATTCTTTTCTATGTCCCATACACAGTGATACATTTTCAGTTGGTCTTTTTTCGTCTTTTCCATTCCTTTCTATGTCCCATTCATTTTCAGTAAGTCTTTTTTTCACTTTTCCCTTTCTTTTTTATGTCCCATTCAGTTTCATTTTCGCTCGTTTATTTGTATGGTTTATCTAATTACAGTGGAAACTCTCGTAAGCGGACACCCTAGCTAGGGACGCGAAAGAGTTGTAAGCAACTGGAGCTGGCCGCTTACGGAAATGTAAAAATACAGAAATTGCAGTGCCGGATCGAGACCTTGAGATAAGGGGGGCGGTCATCCAGACCCTTAGAAAAAGGGGGGGAAGAGTCTCCAAAAAAATTTTTTCGGCCCTTCGGGCCTCACTTTGGTCTAAAAATAGTATACACTTAATGTCAGATCCCAACGGAAACAGTTAATTTGGTTTTCCCGAGAGTCCTGATGGACTCGTGGGACCTCACATTAAGTGTTTTGTTATATTTCTAGACCTTCACTTCAACAGCAACTAAAGAATAACCAGAGCGAACCAAAACAGTTGACTCGGTACTTATAACAACACAAATTTAATTCTCAAAACCACTGAATGAATGATTTACAAACAAAAGTACTTTCCTTATGTTATCTGCATCTTTTTCCTCCACTAGCTGCTGTTTTTCTTCTGGGAACTTCCGGGATAACAATGTTTACTTTTTAGCTTGAGGCTTCGTGTTTGTGTTGTTGTGTTCATTCACGAAAAAGAAAACTGGCTGGACCTGGCGGTGTTTTTCCCGCCTTCTGTCACGCCACTTTCCACCATGCTTTGATCACGTGCTGCAATGTATCCCGAGCGGTGTACATTGTTTAATGTATCACGATCGGGATACATGTGATTTTACTCAAGGCCACGTGACCAAGAATCAACCAATGGCAGTCCCTGTTTAGTTGAGTGAAAGTCTAGGAATATAACAAGGCGAATTAAAGCTCGATTGTATGGCTAATCTTTATCGTATTCGTAATCACAATCATTATCATAACCATAGCGTTTTAACGTTTTACAAACTCTTGAGACTTTGAGATTTTGAAACACATAATCAGTTGCTACAGGGAGCGAAACTGAGGACGAATGATACTGTTTGTAATTCAAAATTGTATTTTAAAAATGTATTTTAATCGTGATTGGCTTACTAATGATGATGATGATGATTCAAGATATTGAACTCTTACCGAAAGCCGCTTAAGAATCCTAAGACAACACATGTATTCAAAGCTTGAGGTGTAAGGGTTTTACCTGTCTTCGTAAAAAGTTGATGATGGTGATGATGTTGATGATGATGATGATCCAAATGACATTGCGCTCTAAATGTTTTGTAACTTTTCCTGTTGCAGGTCTCGCCTGGAGAACTCGTCCCATTAAGCCTGAAAGCCGTTGATGAGCTCGGCGGCGATGTAATCACAAGCGTTTTTGCGTTTGAAATCGACCGACTAAACAGCGCACAGAAACTTCTGCTCGATGACAGTTTGTTTGTGGTCTTTCCCAATGAATCTGTACCATTTTCGTTTCGACTAACAGAAGGCGTATACAACAAAAGACGTAAGAAGAACCGAACGATTATGTTCACAGATGTATACTCGACGCTAAACAACTCACTTTCTGTCGAATTGGAAGTAAGAGATTGTCATCCCGGATTCATCTTCTCGGATGAAAAGTGCGTGTGTAATACAAAGCTGGAGGGTGTGGAGAGGTAAGCGCGTGGCAAGTCGGGAGAAAAACCGTGTACTGAAGTCCGAAACATTGAATTTGTTTCAAAACAACCGTGTCAATTCGTTGTCTTTACTTTTTTGTCACTCCAAATCAAATTCGGTGTCCATCCCTGTATACTTTGTTGATTGCATTCCCTCCCCATCTATTTGCTTATTTCCTTGCGTCCGGTTATTTGCTTCAAACTCCTGATAACTCGAACTTTTTTTCTATTTCCCAAGAAGGTTCGAGTTCTCGGAAGTCGACAGTACTTTTAGAAATATGTACAACGATATCTTTTTCAAATAAGCTTATTACCTCAGGTGATAATTATACGTTACAAATTCATTATTTTACCCTTGGTGCTGGAGTTTTCTTCTTTCCTAATCCATGGCGAACCACGGTTTGTCCTAGGCATTTCGAGAATGGAGCTCTGGAATCATTCCCTGCAGTCGATGTGTGTTTAATATCTAGACGGGAGGGAAGATAAAATTAACTGTTTAGCACCATGTAAAGGGATCCAAGACATTCTTGGACTGTGGATTCCACCCCGTAGATTCCGGATTCCAGGTACTGAATAACGGACTCCTTATCTGTGAAATTCCAGTCTTTAGCTGGATTCCAAAGCGCAGGATTCCGGATCAACAAGCAAAAATTCCCTGGTCTCCGGAATCCTACTTACCATTTACATGGGAAGACCGGAAATTCCGGTTGGAAAATCAAATGGTTCACGCTATTCCGTATGTGAAGCGTCAGATATTATGGGCTGCGATTCTAGGCGATGCAATTTTTCCACTCTCTCACGTCTGTTCAGTTGATTTGGATAAATTTTGTATCGAGACGGTCGTTCTCCCACCACTTCAAATTTTATTGTTTTATGTTTTATAAGATTTTTCACCGGAGTAGTTTGTGCAATGGTAAGCACCTCTTACATGGTGCCGGGCATGGTGCGAACTGTTGGTGCCATGCAATATGTGTAGGAGCCAATTCCTAGCTTGCTCGAGTGTTAACACATCTCTTTGTCCTTTAAAACAATAGATGCGATAATGGTAGCAAAGTATTCCTGAGAGAAGGTTACTGGGGAAACTCGACGAGCAGTGGAGAATTCGTGACCTACTTCTGTCCATTCAACTACTGCAAATGTTCAAAAATGCCAGGATTGCCCGGGTGTTTATTTAGTGCTGAGAACAGTGATGGCCAATGCGCTGATAATCGTGAAGGGTGGATGTGCGGAAAATGCAAAGCCAACACTAGCGTTGGGTTAAGGCAGGTCACAACTACATAAAAAAGTATATATTTAAGCAATAGAAAACGTTTTTTGTGTTTGCATAGCCTGATATAAACACGAGGGGGGCTGGGGGAATTCGAGACAGTTATGCAAACCTAAGACGAAGTTGAGGGTTTGCATAACTGTCGAGAATTCTCCCATCGCCTTGTGTGTTTATATCAGGCTATGCAAACACAGGAAAAAAGTTTTCTATTGCTTTTGTAAAATTATTTTCCCGAGAGAAAAACGCAAAACTCTTTGTATGGCACTGATTAAAAGAGAAATTCTTACCAGTAGCAAAATCTTGTCCACGAAGTCTTGCACGCGAAATCAGTTCTTATTTTGCAAAAAGATGCTTTGCAAAATACGGATTTTTCTTGCTTAAAATGTCAGCTTAAGCGACGAAAAATTGACTTACCTTCTTTCTAACGATTTTCCATGTTTCAGCCGACGAAGGAATGGGTAAATACAGTAAATTTGTCGAGTTTTGAACTCGAAAACTTTTTCAAATTCGTACTTGCATGATAGACCTATTCGGCTAACTCAATGTTGTACCCAATTCAAACCCCTTAGGAATAAAACGGTTTGTTTCAGGAATTTTCATATGATTTAAATGTGAATGCAGCATTATAATGCAAATGCAATACACAAAGAATCTTATCCCCGGGAGATTTGAATTGGCTACAACATTGAGTTAGCCGAATAGGTCTATTAGCGTGCGAAAAGCCAAACAACTTGACGCCACAACCATGTTTACAAATGTCTACATACTCTCATGCAAACACTACTCTCGGCCAATCAGAGCGCGCGTACTATCTTAGTTATTTTATAATGTACAATAACTGAGCGATTTCTTCCGCGCCGATTGTTCGAGAGCTGTGGTATATAGACGGAATGATGTAGTCTGAGCACAGGTGGCCCAGGCGCACCATGTGTGGGTTCGGGCTTCAGAGGTCATTTGGTCGGAATATACTAGAATTATTAGTATATTATCTGATGCTAAATAAAAGCAAAAATCTTAAAGATATGAAGTCTTCTTGTTTATCTATCTGTACTAGTAGCCTTTAAGATAACGAAACAGCCGACATTGTGCGACGCCACCCCCGCGAAATGACGTTCATAGCCACTCTGTGTCCTACGGCCGGTTTAAAAGCCGTTTAGTCGACTTTCTTTCCATCGAGTACTGAACACTGTGTTCTCGATGGAAAGAAACTCGTTGACGCGTCACTTCCCAGATCTGGGTAGTGCTTTTTTCTGATTGGTCGAAGGATGTGATTTTTCAGCCAATCAGAAGCGTTACTTAAAACAGATAGATAAACAAGAAGAAATCTTTGACGCATCAGATAATATACTAATAATTCTAGTATATTCCGACCAAATGACCTCTGAAGCCCGAACCCACACATGGTGCGCTTGGGCCGCCTGAGGTCTGAGAAAACAGCCGACATTGTGCGACGCCACCACCCGCAAAATGACGTCTGAGAAACAAGTACAGAAATTCCATACTGTTGACGCGTCACTTCTCAGATCTGGGTAGTGCTTCTGATTGGTCGAAGGACTTTTTCAGCCAATCAGAAGCACAACTGTGATCTTGAAAGTGACGCGTCATCAGTATGGAATTTTTGCGCTCGTTTGTCGATCAGACGTCATTTCGTGAGGAAACCTGTGGTGGCATCGGGAAACGTCGTCTGTTTTCTCGGCTAGGACAGATGGCGCGATTTGTTTTTCTCCGATCTGTTTCTCTCGCACGATTTTCCAAGAAACTTCGTCGGAAATGGATGCTAAACAAAATGTCAATGTTGTTGTAAAAAAGGGAATTGAACAATGATTTTCCATGGACTATGCCTTTATTCACTTTGCGGGTAATGAAATCCAGAAAACGGAAGAGCTTGCTTTGCAAGCATTGGTTAAACTCGGCTACTAGCTTATTTTCATCATTGTTTACTATGTCTTTTAACTTGATGTTTACCAATTATGAAACAATATTCTTTTTTTTACAGGCGAACTGAGTGCATAGAATGCTCCAAGTCTGGATGGGTGCTAGCTTTGGTTATTCCTATTGTGATAATTTTTTGTGTCGTCGTCATCTGGCTCAATCCCGGCATATCTAGCGAGCTTAGAGGACCGCTGTTTTTCTACCAGGTCCTGCCCTTCATCGTTGATCCTATCGAGAAATATACTTACATTTTTCTAGCAACGGACATATTTAACTTTGGAGGCCCTTTCAATTATTTCCTTAACACCTGTCTCGTTCGGGGAATAAACAATTTATACGCCATTACGTTTGGCTACGCTGTTCCTTTCTTAGTCTTTACCGTGTTTTTCCTGGCGTACTTGTTCAGTCACCGTTTGACGTTTAATCTGCGCCGACGCTCTATGCTGCGGTCATTTTGGTGCCTCCTCCTCCTCGTTTACAACTACCTGGTGGAGACGTCATTTCGGATCCTGTTCTGTCCAAACGTTGCCCGAAATTACGTTTTCTTTTACGATGGCAGCATTCAATGTTTCCATGGCAGCCATCTACCAATAGGAATAATTGCCATAATCGTGTTAGTGGTACTTGTCATCCCACCGCCTATAGCTGTATTTCTTTTAACTAATGGCTACTGGAGAGTTAAACCGCAATGGAGTGATACACTGACTAACAGCCTGCGCCCCAAACGCTGTTGGTGGTGGTCAGTGGATTTATGTCGAAGATTACTCCTGGTTGCTATTTATGCGTTTGTTGCAAACTGGAAGATTAAGAAGGTGAGAGAATAATGGCAGCTGACCAGCTACCCCTCCCCTAAATGACAAGTAAGTGTTAATGTTGACTTGGGGGAGGGGTAGGTGGTCAGGAACCCAGAAACCTCAATTGATCTCCACTCTACCCTGAAACGTTAAACAGTTTAAGCAACCGTGATGGCGACGACAACGAAAATGTCAAAAAACATAAAATAATATAGAGTTTCCACATGACGTTACTTCCGCCATGTTGGTGTTCCAAACTGATCCTGTGGGAGTTGAACTCTTTTCTTAATATGTAAACGCTTTCTTTTGTTCCAATAAAATAACGTAATGTAATGTTGGCCACGTGAGTTTGGTTTGTGACCACGTGACAAGGCGGCCATGTCGAGGGTCAATACAATATAATTTTACCTCGAAGAATTTACATGAAAATAGAGTTTAGTTCCCAGAGGAGAGAAATGCTTTTGTTCTTGATCACCAACATGGCCGCCCTGACGTCACGTACAAACCAGCAAAACTCTGCACGTTTATCCACTTTTTGGTGGCTTTTTGCCTCTTGCACAGCATAGGCTAGAGGATTTAGACAGAAGAGGGCGGAATTCAAACCGAAGAAAATCCATTTACATTTTACACAAATTGAGTGAGTTATAATAATCGCTCTCAAAGAACCCGACATGTATTTAAGGCCTTATGGCTATATGTACATAGAATTGATGGAGAGACGTCGAAGGCCAGATTGGTCGAGGGGGAGGGGGGGAGGGGGGCGGGTATGCTAGACCAAGGACTTCTTCCTTGCTAGGCCCTGCCCCAGCCAAATAACGCCTGGCGTACTTAAGGCACTAGCGTTGCATCATAGCAACTTAAACTCTTTTGTAAAAACAATCAAAACGTTTTGATCTCCCAAAGATATTCCTATCATTTTTCTAGATTCTAATGACTGTCGCCTGCATGGTAATCCTTGCTGTACACAGCAACTGCCAACCTTACATGCGACCACGTGCCAACTACGCCGAATCTGTGTATTTGCTAGTGCTCTCCATACTGGCAATGATGCAAACTGTTGAGGACCAGGAAACTGCGTTCTACGTCTGCCTGGTTCTTTTCATCACCGCTGCCATTCACACGTTTGGGGTATTCTTCTTAAAGGCTGGGCTCTTTTGTCGAAGGCGATTTAAATGCTGCACAGGCGAGGAGACACCAGACGATCAAAGGCATAGATACCAGGAATTAGAAAACACTGAAAATGAAGAAAGACGGGACACCGAAATTGAAAGACGGAGAAGCATTTTGGATACGATCCTCAGTAAACCTGCAAGAGTCTCGAATTGTGGTTAGTCTTTTTGTGCATCCTTTCCACCTCCCCAAACCACCTTGTATAGTATAACACTTGAGGAATTCATCCATAGAATTAAGGGTTACACGGAACCACCTTGTACAGCATAATGAACAGCTAGGAAAGTACTAAGATAAGATAAGATGCATTATAAGTGGCGCATACTCTTAGCTACATGGATTAGCTAGAAAAAAATAAAACTTCACCAGCTAATTCACAGGTATGCCACTGTAAATGAAACATTCAGGTAGAAATTAATATGATTAAAACAATATAAAAACTATTTACAATTAAAATTGAGTTGTCACACATAAACTATTATTAAAACTTATTTACAAAATTGATTAAAAAGACGATTCGTCGATACTGAATTAATGACTCATTTTCTATAACAGTCTTTTCAATGTTTTAAAATCGGACGACGCTCTTACGACATCAGCCAAGTTGTTCCAGATCTTGGGCGCATGATACCGCCAGGAATTGAGTCCAAAGCGTGTTGTGTTGTCCTTGGGCACTTTTAAAATGTCCTTTCCTCTCATGGCATATGTTTTTTCTCGTAATGAGAGTAACTCATTCAAGCTTTCCGGGTTCGTATTATTATTTACGAGTTTAAAAACAGAATAGGGAATTTCACACAATCTCTACTCCATCAAGGTTTTGCTACCTAAAAGATCAGTATGTGTAATCAAATGGTGACGAGTGAAATTAGGGAATATAAATTTCACGCGCGTTTTGTCTAAATCCTAATAATTTCCCGAGCCTTTAGGCCTATTAACTATTAATTTCATGGGTGACGAATTACGTTAGCAATCTTGGATTTTTGAGATGTTTATCCTGGATCGTATCGATCGAGAACTCTACTCTCTCAAATGTTTAGACCTTAAATTTGGCTTATAAAGTTCAGAATTTTTCAGACGTTTTCAGCAAAATACCTGTTAGAGTCCTTCTCGATGTTCTCTTGTGTGGCGTTTTTTGTGCCCTGACATCTTCATTCACGGCATTTTGAAACTTCGTCGCCATCTTGACACTGAGACGTACGGAAGGTTTCCATGGCAATTTTGTAATTTCACATGTGAAATTACAAATTAACGCTGAAATTTCGCGCCAGAATTAAGGAGGAATTCGTCACCTATGATATTAAGTAGCTTATTTGAGTAGCCACGTCTTATCCACAGACATAAAAGAAAGAACGTTAACCATCTTTTGGAGTATAAGACACCGCGGATCATTATACCGTTCTGGGAAACTTCCCACCTACCCCTCCCCTAAGCCAATATTTTGCCCTCCGCTCAGTCACTCGATGTAAGGTAATCCGGATTTCACAATTCGGGAATTTTTTTCTTGTAGAATCCGGAATTCAGCTCACGGAATCCAGAATCCGGAATCCGGAATCCGAGTTCCGCTAATCCGGAATCCACAGCGTGGAATCTAGAAATCCAAGACTGTCTTGGATTACCTTTCATGCCGGAAAGGCATTAAGTAGAATAGAAACGACTAATATCTGTGGTATTTTTGATCCCCTTAAAATGCCACAAAACTCTCTAATCATCTTGTTTTGTTGTTGTTGTTTTATAGCTTCAGACGCGAACAGCTCTGCGCGGCCCGAAATCATCGACAGAAGTGACTCAACGTCTCCCGGCGTCGCTACTTGCTACTAAAGAACAGGAACTAAAAATACATGGGCACGTTTGCAACTCCATAACAGTGTAAACATTCTGAACTTAACTTGGTGGATGTCCCCACTCTGCTTTCATAAACAGTTTCCTGCAAATGTAACCAAGTTTTGAGTAACAAACCCTTAGGTGTAGCTTGACCACGGAAAGCACATGCAGCGGCTGTTATTTCAAGCTTGAATAGGTTTAGAATCATATGTGTACAGTTATTAGTATAATGTATTTGTTTACTCAACGTTTTTTTGCATGCTTCCATTGGAGTCAGGACCTTGTAGCACAGTTAGTCTGCGCTCATCTCACTCCTGACTACCGTGAATTTCCCACCATTCCTTAGAGGAAATTAGAATGCTGTAGTCAGCTGTGCTCAATTACTGAACTTTCAAATACAGAGTTTGGCTAGGCCACCTGTGCTGCCACGATTGTTCTCCGATATGAAACTTACTAGCCTCTTGTCTAAAGTGGCTTCATACAGCATTTGCTTTACAACAAAGATAACGGCATTTATCCGCTCTTGCTAATTGTAGTGTACCGTGCACTTTTATGCTTGGTATAAAGAAGTTATTTTCTGGCCCTTTTCAACCTAATTAGGTCTACAATTGGACAAACAAAGACGAATTCGTCTTTCTCAACAGGCCTCACGAACGCGAAGACCTTTCAACTAACACTCGGACATATCAGCAAATCGACACCCGCACCCTGGTAAAATCTGATGGGAGAGGGGCTAATTAAAGTCTAATAGTTAGATGAGCTCTACAAGATGACGGAAATATTGTGTGAGATCTGGGATCTTTGGCATTATCTTGACTGTCATCTTAGATTTTAATGAAATTTCTGATTTATCTAATCAGAATTTTTCTAATTCAGTTTTATTTACTAAAGTCAAAATCAAAGACATGTAAAAAGGGTTTAACCACCCCAGAAGCCGTCTTTGAGGTACACTGTACGGCCATCCTCACATCTGTCAAAAGAACAGAATAGCGTCAAAAGGATCTGAAAAGATAGCACCCTCTGAGTCTGCATAATTCTTTTTAGTGCATACTAAAACAGTGGATAGTATTTCTCGAGCGCTCTGGGTCGAGATTGAGCTAAAATCTTTGATCACACGCATGCTCTGTTGTAAACTGGCCAAAAAGGTGGCAGGCTCCGATTAATGGCGGCAGGTGTGCCGGCAGAATTCACCTATTAAAACTAGAAGAAAAGTTTTGACACTCTTCAAGGAGCACCCACCTTGATGGTCTTTCATCCTATTTTGCAACAATGAGGACTAGGACTTTCATAGGGCTGGAGTTTTAGAAATATTCCTAGCCATACATGCCATATTTTCTACCACAGGGTGCCCAGAATCACACCAGCCTACTATATCGTAAGATCGATAAAACGGTTGAAATATACAAAAACAGTTATTTAACAATTATTCCTCGAGCCCGAAGGCCAAATGGGTCGAATGGGCTATTGACTCAGAGGCCATGAGGGCGAGAGGAATAATTGTTTTAGTAAAATCCAACTAGTTGGTCAAAAATATCGAAAATAAAAAAATTGTAGCTAGTTAAAGCTAGACTTTAATCCTTTTTTGCCGCCAAAAAGTCCGCGCTTTTCGCTACCAGTGGGCTATAACATATAGCCTAGTAATAGCTCAATCAATCAGAACCCAGCATTGATAACAGACCACTAGCTGGATTTTACTAACAAAGAATATACTGGCGGATCCTGGAAAGGGGCCCGGGAGGCCCGCCCTCTTATTTTTAGACTAAACTGAGGCCCAAAAGGACCGAAAAAAATTGTTTTTGAGACCACCCCCCTGCTTATCCCAGAGTCTGGATGACCGCCCCCCACCGACCCCCTTATCTGAAGGCCTGGATCAACCACTGCATACCTGATAAAGAGTTGTGTCTCAGCGTTGTTTTCTTACTGTTTCCTGGCCTATAAACGCCATTTTAGCAAGTTTTAATGTTTTGGTTTCTTCCTTAGGTGCGAAACCAAAACATTTTCGTAGCCTTTCGTAGCCTAGGCGCAAAAAGGGGAGGAGGAGGAAGAAAAGCGCGATCCCCTCCCTTTTTTATTCCTCCCTATCCCTTACCCCTTGCGACGCCTGCTACGCAGGCTACTCTTTCGTCCCCAGAGTCCCTCGGCATTGTAAAGATACGTGGAAGTACGCGTGGCATACCCGTGCCGTTGCGCTGTCATGTTCTGTGCACATGGAGTCACGCATGGATTCGCGTGACTCTTTACAGTAGAATTAGTTAGTTCGAAACTGCTTAATAACTGGTAGTTCTTTCGATTTTAGTAGTGAGTATAGTTGAAAATCTTTCAGTTTGACTCGTTACGAACAATGCATACCCGCTTTTTATCAGCAGTTATACTTGTGATGGCTTCAGGGTGGACAACTAAGTCGCTCTCAGACGGCCTTGTGGTCCGAGTGTCGGGAACTGGAACAGATGATAAATCTTGTCGGAAATCGAATGCAACCTTTCCGTGTAGATCCTTAGGATTCGCCTTGGAAGCTTTAAAGGACTCAAGCAATCGAAATGAAACGATGTTCACTTTTTTGGTTGACGCTGGGAACGTTTACAGTCTCAACGAGAGCGTGAAAATTAACCAGACAAGTACCTCGGTCGTCGTTTATCTGAAATCTAGCAGTAACTTGACTGGTGGTCGATCGGTTATTAGTTGCGCGGATGCAAAGGCTGGAATCGAGATAGGATCAAACACGAGCAATACAAGAAACATTAACTTCGTGGACCTTGAATTTCAAAACTGCAGTTCTCGCTCTGTTGCTGCTGTTGTTTTAATCTGGAATTCTCGGGATATTAACTTCACGAATTGCGTATTTAGAAATAACGCCAAAGCGGGGATCAATGCTTTCGATAGCAGCGTGACAATTGAAAGATGCCATTTCTTGAACAATACCTCTAATGGGTATAATTCAGGGGAAACTTACATAGAGGGTGTCACTTCCGCCGGTGGTGGAGCGGGATTTTTATATCAAGAGGCTTGGAATCTGTCCTTAATAGTCAAAGACTCTATCTTCGAGTTCAACTCCGCCGTTACAAATGACACTAGAGAATTTGTCGCGCCAACCTATCATGTATCACTAATTATTCTAAGTGGCGGAGGCTTTCTTGTTGTGTTCAGAAAAAACGCCCAATTTTGCCGGGCTTGGATAGAAAACACTCGATTTGCGAACAACAGCGCAACGATCGGAGGTGGACTCTACGTCGAGCAATCTGAGTTGGCCATGGGCAACCACTTCATAATGGTTAGCTCGAATTTGTCAGGGAATACGGCGGGACAGGCGGCAGGGGGACTAAGTTTGTCACAGTGGAACAATGCTTCCAGCTTCACAACAGTGTTTAAAAATTGCATCGTTAGCGAAAACGAAGCACAGCGAGGAGCAGGGATGAATGTATTTTTTATGAACTCCGATGCAACTTACAACGACTCTGTGTTAAGGTAAGAGAGTGATGTATTTAGAGGCCCACCTGTACAATGAAATTCTGGGTACAAAGCCAATGACGCATTGGGGTTTTTCGATAAAAACTGTATTTCAATTTTTTTTTTAATTTCAACGAATATTCCGCCGATAATTTTAGTATGGTCGACTCTCTTCTCGTTGGCTGGATAGCAAATATTTTCTGCGCTTTAGCCGCAGGTTCTATAGTCTCCCTCGCAGCCGTTTTTTGGACGTTTTTTGGATGTCACGCAACGCGTTGCGTGACATCCAAAAAAACGGCTGAGAGGGAGGCTACAGGTTCTACGGTTAATCGAAATTTTAAGACAACTACTTTCAAATGAAGTTCTTCTCGCACTCCCCAGACTTCCGCTAAAAGGAGTAAACTCTCGGTCCCGGCGGCGGGGAATCCGCAATCGAAAGGAAGTTGACAGGCTGTATTATTCACAATTCAAATCCATTCTCCCCATATGAGGGAAAGGAAGGTTCTGGAATCCGGGAAATTTTTGCTTGTGGAATCTGGAATACAGATCAAGGAATCCGGGATTGGAATCCAGAATCCAAGTTCCACTAACAAAGACTGGAATCCAGTACAACCCAGTACCTGGAATCCGGAATCCACGGCGTGGAGTTCAGAATCCAGGCTAGGGCTGTCGTGAATTGAGGTGACATATGATGAATCCATCCTAAAAGGCAAATGGGAAATGGTCAAGCTGACGACTAACCCATGCAGTGCAGTATTTAGCCTGTGGGTAGCCTGCGAAAACATCCGTTTCTCCACGCTCTTCGCAGCCGAGGACGTTTCCCCCGCGCGAAACGTCCCCAGCGGCGAAGAGCGAGGAGAAACGGATGTTTTCGCAGGCTAGCCTGTGGGCTGTTCACTACCTTACCTAGTTTTCCGGTCTAAAATGGTTTCGAGAAAGTTTTGCCGTGAGTGCATGATATCATGGCTCTGAACACGCCACAGTTTTTCTTAGACGTCTATTCAACACAACCTAATGTTACCTTAAAAATTAGTACAGTCGACAACTCTTTTTAAGACGAACTCCTCTGGTACCGGTACTTTCTTAGAGAGATGTCCTTCTTAAAGAGAGGCAACTTTTAATGATGATATAGAAAGGAAGGGACCAACTCTTGATCTGCGTTCTAGTGAGGTGTCTGTCCTGAAGAATTGTCAGTCTTGTAGAGAGTAAACTCGGACAGGCATGGAAGAACTTTACTTGCCCGTTTTAGCAAGGTGTCCGGCCTTTAATAAATCTAATGGGCATTTTACATGGAGGGAGGAAGATCCCTTGAATACCAGAAAGATCCTAGAAGGCGGAACAACTTCACACAGGGGCACCCAACAACAGTTTTCTGTAAAATATCTATTCGGAGAAGCAAATATTGCCAAGAACTTTCTATTACTTGAGAACAGCTAAAAATTTCTCGATGACCGTTCCATTCAAGTACAATTCTCGAAGTTTATCTATTAAATTCCCTACGATTTTCTGAAGTTTAATTTTCACATTTCACTTCCTGAGTTAGGCTATTTTTCGTGGGAAAAATAAAATCTAAATTTGTCGGATTCGACAATGCGATGGAGGACTAATCAGAAAAATGTTTCCCTTTCGTAATACGTTAAATATGCGTCTAACATTTTTGGGAAAACAATACTCAAGCCCTTGTAATTTCGAAAAGGCTCAAGTTCTCCTAGGATAACTGAACAGATACAAATTTTATAGCGCCGCTTAGAATGCATTTCTAGAGATCTTAAAGTCCTCTGGATAGCCTAAAAAATGTTTTCAATGTATTTAGGAGGAAACCGTCGTTTGGTGGCCCTGTTCACGTTGAATCGGTCCGTGTGGTGCCCAAGTAGAAAAGGGTCGGGAAGGAATTAAAAATGGCGAGCGGCAAAAACAAACATGCGTCAATAACTACCTTTAAGCAGAATTATTACAATAATTAGCCTTTGGTAACGCTAAACGAATGGTCGGCTTTTATTGCCGTTATTAACCAGTGAACTACCGGCCACCATTTTTGTGTGGTTTGTCCCTAGTACTAGGATCTTCCTAGCAAAGGCAGTTTACATGATGCTAGGATCTTCCTACCTCTCAGCTATGAATTCGAAGATCCTTGCCCATGTAAACCAAAAAGGCGCTAGGATGTCTGCCTTCTAGGATCTTGCTCCCTCTGGCATGTAAACAGCCCCTGGTAACAGTCGTGGTTAATTGTTTCAGGTTTGAAGCAGTGAAATTTAGCAACAACCGTGCCAGGGCAAGCTCTGCAATCCGCTTCACAACAGCACAACCGTACGGCAGCAACGTGGATTTGTTAGCAGAATTTATCAACTGTTCCTTTACTTACCACAAAATGTCAATCTTTGCGCGAACAAGCCCCTTTACAAGTCAGCGAATAAACTTAAAGTTCAAGGGAAACAACATCTTTCAGCAAAACAGTGGAGGTAAGATGATAAATCGGCGGTAGCCTCCCTCTTGCAGCTAGCTAGTTTCTTGCCTCTAGTAGGGACCTTACGGTACCACAACAGTGATGCCAGTGGAAAAGTCCCTAGAAAACTAAC